GTGTGCCCTCTGCGTTCCCAGAGCCTAGCACAGCGCCAGAACATACTTGGTCACTTAGTAAAAGTTTGTTGGAACAAGGCAGGTTCAGAGAGGTTGATCAGCAGCCCAGCGTCACAGCAGGGAACAGGAGCAGGATTCAAACTCGGGGTGGTCTGGACTTCAAAATGCACATTCCTAACCCCTTTCCCCCCTCCCCACCTGTCTACTGCATGTGGGTCACATGAACAGGGTGGGGGCCTGTGGGCATCCCATGTGTGTGTGTGTGCACACTTGTGTGCGCCAAGGTGGGAGCATATAGGGCAAAAGAGGGCTCTGCCCAAGCAGAGGGCTGCCCGGCTGGCTTCGAAGGCTTCTTGGGAATCTCCAGCCCCCATTCATTTCTGCTCCTGGGCTGGCATTGGCTCCTTACACAGCCTCTTCCCTGCTTCCAGCTTCCACGCCAAGGCCCCAAAACATGTGACCCCCTTTAGTGAAATCAAAATGCCCACACAAGGAATAGTCATCCAGTATACAAGCTTTAATCAAGGTTGCATAGAAATCACTGTAGTACCATGTTCCTGCATACAGGTGGACTTCTTTCTAGCATTCCACGTGAGATGGAGTTTATCATTTGAGTGAAACCAACACAGGAACAAGCCATAGGGTGCTGTCTCAGTTGTATTTCCGCCCTAAGGGATGGGAACGGGAAAGGGACCTTTAATAGTGGAATGCTTCGCGCACTCACTTCCTTTGGGGTTTGGACTGCTCATTTGTAACTAAATACGGGGTGTGTGGCTAGAGCTTAGAATGTCAAGATCAAAAGGATTGCCTGTGAATCCATCCATTTGTTCCATTTATCACCCACCCATTCACAAATTCACCCAGTCCATCCATTTATCCAACATGGCTTCATTTAAACTATATCCAGGCTGCCCATTCAGTCTGTCCAGACATCTAGGCTTCCATCCATTGGTGCATTCGTCCATCCAGTTAACCATCTGGTCAGCTCATCTACCCATTAATCCACCCACTGATCTGATCATCCACCCACCTAGCCAATCATTGTTTAACCAACTCAGCCTTCCTCCCATCAATACTTCCTTCCCATACAACCTTCCTCCCATCAATACTTCCTCCCATCAATACTACCTTCAGCTGTCCAAGTACGTCCAACCAGTTCAGCTTCTTCTTACCATATCCAACCAATCTGATCACAACCATTGGTTCAACCAGCTAATTTGTTACCCTACAAGAGCATCAATCCGATTTACCCTACCACGCAACATCCATTCCACTTTCCAGTCATTCAACTGATATGTTTCATCCCTCCCTCTCCTCAAGCCTAACCCTGTCACCCATCCCTCTACCAACCAACCTTAACAAATGACTTACCCATCCAGCCTCTCATCTACCTATCCATGCTTCCATCTAGCTAATCTGCAATCTGTCTGTCCTCCCAATCAACCCATCCCAATTTATTTCAAGAACTAGCCCACTGGTGCATCATCTGCACAACTTCTCCTTCATCCCCCTCGCCTGTGCTTCCTCTGTGCTCAAGTAGCCTTCACCTCGCTACCCTGGGGTCCACCTAGGCTGCTCCCCCTCGCCTGGGGGGTGGCCCTGTGGCCCTTCCCCGCCTGCTTGAAAGGTACCTGAGCTCCGCCTCTTTGTTTTATACACCTGCTGCCTCCTTTTGACCACCTTCCTCTTGTTCACCTTTCCTTCCAAATTCTTTCTGTTCTTGGGGTAGCTGCAGGAATGGGTGGTGGGCCGCGGGGAACAGTGGTGGCAGTGCATGGTGTGTTTCTGGTGCCTCGGTGGCGGCCTGGGGTGTGAACTCTGGCTCTGGTGGCCAGTGGGGCTCTGGCTGCAGCTCTGGCTGCAGCTCCGGCTGCAGGTTTGGCTGCAGGTTTGGCTGCAGGTTTGGCAGTGGGAGCTGCAGGTGCACGGGCTGCAGGTATGGCTTTGGGGCCAAGGGTTGCTATGGGGCTGGGTGTGGGTGTTGGGAGGGCTCTGTGTCTTGGTGTCCATGGGAGGCCACGCTTGAGGGGCAGAGGCCACCTCCTCCTCCTCTTGCAGCACACCCAGCTTGACAGAGGCCCTGGCGGCCTCTAGTTATATAGTTGGGGCTGATTGTGATGGCACAGGCCACAGGGGCGTAACAGACGTGGCCAGGCCGGCACAAAGCCCCTGCCCCTGACCGTCACCCCAGGGCGGGGCCGCTTGCAGGGGTACTCTGGGGGAGTCCCATCTACTGGTTAAAAGTAGGGACTCTTGGGTCAGATGGAGCTTGGCCTGCATCCCAGATCTGGTGCTTCCTTTCCTCTGGTCGCTCACCTGGGCATTGGCCTCTCCACATCCCGGTTCCCCTGTCTTTGTACAACAGAGACAATATGAACGCCTCCCTCCTAAGACATCGGATGATTTCAATGAGAGAAGTGATGTCCAGTGGTTGGCTCAGGGCCAGCCCCCAGAAAAGGCTCAGTACCCTTTGTCTAAGCATCCCCAGTGCGTCTCCTTTTTCCCCCCAACACGGCATGGAAGCTAGGAGTGCCTCTGACCCCAGTGCGGTGGGGCGGCCGGCGGACGTTGAGCGGGTTGGATGAGAGTCCCTGGCAGACTGATGGGTGGTCCTGGGCTCTGCCTGGTGAACTCGCCTCCCCAGCAAGATTTAAAGCCAGAGGATTTAGAGCTGGGTTCAAACCCCAGTTTGCACTGATGTCCAAGGGTAGAGTGTTTTGTTTTTCAAGGCTCGGTTGCCTTATCCAACAAAGGGACCTTCCTTCCTTTGGGGTGTTCTTCTGAGCCCGAGGTGCCCAGCAAGCCCCAGGACACCCCTGACAGCCTGCCTTTCTCCTGATTCCCGCCTGCCCACCCTGCTCCCCTCCTTGCTGGTGGAGCCCTGCCATACGATTGGAATCACCCTGGCCCCGCTCAGACCTCCCAGTTCCCGGAGCAGAAAGCCCACACCTGCGTTTGCACATGGCCCCATCGGAGCTGTCCGGTGGTCTGTCTGCAGCCACCTGCCTCTCCCCACTCCTTGGCCAAAGCCGTTGCAAGGGCTTAGCTCTTGGCCGCTTGGCCTGTACCTCCCATTTTCCCCTGCCATGGGACTCCCTCTCCCTTCCCCCCAGCCAGCCTCTACTATCGCTCATGCACAACTTTGCCCCTTGTTGTGAGGCTTTGCTACAATCTGCTTTTGTTGTAGGTCAGTAATAAGCACTTCCCATCAGTCACGGTGAACACTACTCTGATTGAGCACTTCCTGTGTGGCTGGCCTCCAGCTCCTACCCTGTCCAGGCAGCTCTGCCCTCAAGCCTCCCAGTGACCCCGTGTGGTGGGCTAAATGGTGGCCCCCCCAAAGATATGTCCGTGTCCTAATCCCTGGACCCTGTCACAGTGAGCGTATTTGGAAAAAGGATCTTTGCAGATGTAAGTAAATTAAAGATCGCGAGAACATCCCGGATTATCCAGGTGGGCCCCTAAGAAACGAATGCACCCTGGGAAGTAGGTATGATCATTAGATTGTACAAAGGGGAAAGAGGCTCAGAGAGGGTGAGTGACCAGTTCTGAATCCAGGTCTGGCCCCTTCTGTTCCCGCCTCCTGGTCATGAAGGGACCCGTGGGGATTCCGGAAGGCGTGCGTGGCTCTGTTCCGATGGCTCAGCCTTGTGTGGGCTCGGTGGGGCTGGTTGCGAGATCGCTGCTGGGCTACTCTGTGAAGACCCTTTCTGGGTCTGTGGACCATCTCCCCTCCCCTCCCCCCCCTCCTCCCCCCCCCCCCCCCCCCCCCCCTGCCCCCCCCCCCCCCCCCCCCTACCGTTGCCCCCTACCCTCATACCACCCCTCCCTGGCTGACTCCCCACATCCCCACCCTTGAGTGCATAGTGGGACAGAGACTGTGTTTTAGTGTTCTCAGGGCCTGTCGTGCCTGGCTTACAGCAGGGGCTCCACAGAAGTTGGTGAATGACTGGGCAGGTGGACAGAAGGACCAAACCAGCCCACCAAGCCACAGCAGGGCCCCTTCCTCCAGACGACACCTGCCCTCCGCCTGCCGAAGGCCTCAGTGGCGGCCTCTGCCTCGAGTAACTCAGGGCCCCTCCTTACCCTCACGTATAGCTCCCAGAGAAACTGAGTCTCCCATGGCAATACTTTGTCCCCTGCAACCCCTCCCCAGCAGCCCCGATCAGGATCCTTCTTGGGCCCAGATGGCTGGTGCTTGGGGGACTGAGGGAAGGGGGCAGAACACATTTGTCCTTTCTTTTGGGAAGAGGAGGGTCAAGGGAGTCAGGGTAGGGTGGGCCACAGACGCATTCTGATGCTCCTCGAAGGCCAGAGTAAGCAGACGCAGGGCCCGGTTCTGGGTCTGGGTTCCCGCTGCCCGTTGCTGTGATAAGGGCAATGGCAACTGGACCCCTCGATAAAGGCAGAAGTGAGCCTCTGGCGGGGGGAGGAGGGTGCTGCACAAGTGGTCACCTTGAGTGTGAGGATAGTAGCAGAGGACTCGAGACCCCTCCCTATGCTCTGACCCCCAAACCAGGGCTGGAGTGGCGGGTGTACCCACCATGACCCCAGCAGCACTTCCTGTGTGCTGGGCCTCATCCCACCCACCCCCTGCAGTGACTTCTCCAAAACGACTAACCTGTGGGGTAGCAGGGAGGGGCAGGCTGAGGCTCAGAGACAGACAGTGACTTGCTCAAGGTCACACAGCTAGCAGAAAGAAATTGGAACCCAGGTCTGCTGAACTCCCAAGCTCTTCTTGCACCCCCCTGCATCTGCCCAGACTCAGAGAGGAATCTCCCCCCTTCCCCTGCGCCCCCCCCCCGACAGCACTGGCTGACCGCCAGCCTGGGCTACCACATTTCCCAGCCCCCAAAAGCAGGGAAGGGTGGCTGAGAAGTCATGGGGGGGGGGTGAGCCTCATGGGAACTTCTGGCTGGACCTCAGGAACAGGGGTCACGGACTCCTGTTCTTCAGGCTCCCTGAACATGCAAACTTGCGGCACCACAGGAGAGCAGAAGTCCTTGGAGACTTTTTATTGACTCTTTTCTGAAAGTTCTTCTCGCTGGAACAGTGCCAGGCCCCTCTTCCTGGGCCACCGTCATGGGTCAGGAGTGCGTCTGCTTGGGCTCGGGGTTCTGCTGGGCCACAGGGTCTTCTTCGGCGCTCTCCTCCTCCTGCCGCTCGGACTCCATCAACAGCAGCTTGCCCTGCACCGGGAGCTCTTCCTCCTCCTCCGCCTCTGCCTCCTCCTCCTCCTCCTCCTCCTCAGCCTCGGACGACAAGGAGAAGTTATCCTGACTCACGCAGGCCACGAGCTTCTTCATGGACGATTCGTGGCCCCGGCTGTGGCCTGTGCTGAGCTTGGCACAACGGGAACCCATTGCCCGCTCCGGCTGCCTCTCCAGACTGGGCAGGAAGGCCACTGGGGGCAAAGTGGAGGGGCTGTGAGGACAGCAGGCAGGGCGCTGACATCACAAAGGGGCCCCTGGAGCCCCCCAGCCCCACCCTTGGATACCTGAGTCCCGGGCCAACACCTGCCTCAGACCCTGGCCACCAAGCAGCCCCCCTGCGCTCCCACCACCTGCAGGCCGGGTCAGAGAATTCCAGGCCGGCCCCCTTGCCTTGCCGTGTTACCCCCTCCACCAGGCCTCATTTGTGCTGGCAAAAGGTCCCCTTTTAGCTGGGATGACAGTTGGGGATAGAATTTCCAGAAGCAGGAGAGCCCACAGACTCCTCCCCACATTCCAGAAATACCCAGCCCGAGAGAGAGCTGTTGACAGTATGTGAAGATGGGTCAGAATAGTGACTCCTTTTGGGGGAATTGGCACGAGGGAGGGGAGGGGCTGGAAATGTCTGGTTTCTTGACCCGGGGCCGGGGAAAGGGGCCGGTGGGGGAGGCCACACGGGTATACTTAAAACTCGTGCTCTATGCATAAGCTGTGCTCCCAGAAAACTAAAGAAAACCCTCCCTACTAAGTCTTTCCTGTTTGGGGATCACAGAATTTGATCCTGTGATCTTTACACACGCCCATACCACCGTTTTCAGCACGGGAGGGGAGGAGTCCTTCCTGAGCACTTAGGATGGAAGAATGGATTTCCTGCCAATTTTCTGCCCCCAATCCTCGGTGGCTGTGGTCTGCTGAATAAGGACCCTCCAGGGCTCTTGAGGTGGGGAGACTAGCCTGGCTTATCTGAGTGGGCCCTTAATGTGCTCAGAGGTGTCCCTATAAGAGAGGCAGAGGGATTTCACACAGGAGGGCAGTGTGCTCCTGGAAGCAGAGATTAGAACACTACGAAAACTAGGAGGCGCTTCACTCCAGAGGCAGGAACAGGTTCTGTCCTGGAGCCTCCAGAGGGTCGAGGCTTATACACACTTAAAAGTGTGTGGCAATGCAGGACCTCAGACCGTGCACAAGGCCTCACTCCGTCCCGCGAGGGGCTTTGGTTCCCTCCATGCTGGCCTTGTTCTTGCTGGAGCATGCCAGACCTGCTGTCCACCTCGGTCACAAGTCCCCCATTCCCTAGCTACCCAGCACCCCTGAATATTTGTTAAGGCAGAATAGTGAGGCCCAACAGGAAACCCTGAATCTGGGTGATGGAAGGTACCCACAGTGTCACAGGGTGACCCGCCAGCACAGTACGGGATTTAGTTTTATCATATTCATTTACTCTTATATCAGTGCCGTTTGCATAAAGGAGACCCTGACAGCCCGTGTATTATCTCAAGCTTTATTTGGCAGGTGACTTTTGCTCATTGTAGTCAAGATGTTGTGGGCTCCGGCATCCGACGTCGGGGGATGTCTGTGGTCTGGTGAGGTGGTTCTTTGGTGGGTGACTTTTCCTTAACTCCCATCCAGGGCTGTGATGGGCCCAGGAAGGCTTAGTACCGCCTTCTCTGTCTCCTCCTCCTGACCCTTCTGGAGCCTTGTGGGAAAGAGTTCGGGTTCCCGGGCCGTGGGGATGGGCCTCGGTGGCGGGGAGAGGGTGTCCCAGGGGGTGGGGTGCGTCGGGGGTGGGGACTGGCCAGACCTCTGTGGTGCCTCCCGTGCCTGCAGGTGCGTCTCCGGCGCCGCCGCCTCAGGCAGGAGCGTCGCCGCCTTCTGTGGGTCCTGTACCGCCTCCTCCGGGAGCAGTGCCTATGTCTATGGTGATAGCGGTCTCTGCGGGGCCTGCCTTCCACCGGGATGTCCTGGTTCACCATCTGCTCCTGCTCCTGGCCCTTTTGCTGCTGCCCCTGCCCCTGCTGCCCATGGCCCTGCCCCTGCTGTGGACGCTCGCTTGAACTCCTCCCGCGGCAGCGGACCATGGTGCTGGCTGGGCAGGTGGCTTAGGTGGAGGCTGCAGCTGGCCGTGGGGATGGGGGAGGAGGGCTGAGGCCTGCCCACCTGCTCTTGCTGTTAATGTTGGTCTGGTTTGCTGGCAGCTCTCTGGGGACTTGTATATAAAGGGGGCCCCCCCACTATGACTCAGGGGCCCCACCCCACCATTGTCCCCACCCTGGCCTGACCAGTCCCCTCACAGCCAGCAGGGTCTGGAAGGGCAAGCCACCCTTGCCTTGCCTAGAAAAATGTGTCGCCGCAGGGACATCTCTTGTCCACGTCATTTCTGATGCTTCCTCCCCACCTTGGGGCTGTGCCGTGATCTGGGATTTTATATGGGTTCTCTGTGCATCACCGTAGGCCAGGTATCGGTTCAGTGACTTTCCGTACATTGGCTCCTTCTGCAATTCCTCTTTTCCAGAAAACAGGCAGACAGAGGTAATGTGACTTGCTCAAGGTCACTCTGCAAATAAGGGGCCAGGCTAGGCGTCAGTCTGTGCCCATGGGATGCTGCCCTCCGAACGTGCCATCTTCATGTCGCCTGGGCCTCGCTGTCCTTTGATGATCCCATTAATATCCAGAATCAGAGTCAGAGCAACTGCACGAGGCGTCTCCCCCTTGGAGGTTACCTTACGTGCAATAAGTGGGTCCCGTGTGGTCACACAGGGGCCATGAGTCAGAGAACACAGGTGGCCTCAAGGATCTGGGAAAGACAAACCAATTCTACTCCCTCAGAGCCACCAGAAACACAGCCCTGCCCACACCTTGATTTTTAAATCATTTTGGAATCCTGACCTGCAAAACTAAGAATAAATTTGTGTTTTAAGCATTGAAGTTTGTGGTAATTTGTTAATTCCACCCTGGTATTCACATGCGTTTATTAGTGCCTCAGTCATGTGTGGTTATTAGTGCCCTTGAGGATGGCACCTGTTAATATGAAGGCCCAGGGATCACCCCCATCTCCATGGCTAGAGCTTGCTAGCTACGGGGCGGGGGGCAGGGGGTTCTGTGTCCAGCCATCCTGCCATTATCTGACCGGGTCCAGGAAACCACCTAGTGATTGGGGTCATGCAAGCAGGTTCAGGCCCATTCTGTGTTCTTACAGGATCATCGAGGCCTGGATGCTCGATAAATGGGAAGTCATGACTAGGGGCGTTTCTGAGGTGCTAGGTAGCCCTGTCACTTTAGGGCACTGGGTCACTGAGCTCCTGCTCACTGAGGAGTTGCCCTGGGCTATGCTCTGCCACCATAGGATGATTGTAATCGACAGGCTCTTTGAGGTCGGCTTGGCTCAAAGTGTCCAAGAGTCTCGTGAACCATCTCCATGGCTCCCTGGGATTTTCAGCCCTCCGTGCATCCCGTGGGAGGAGTAGGCGGGCGAGATGGACAAGTCACCCTGTTTCCTCAACCAGGGAGGTTATTTTCAGCTTCGCTCCGCTGCCCCTCACGTGGGGCAAGGCACCATCACTATGCACCAACCTCAAGGGCTGCCCCAGGACCAGCACGGGAAGCAGAGAGAAACCAAAGTGGGCACTTGGGGGAGAAGTGAAATAGAGATAAGCCTGGAGCTTGAGCTGGTAAAGGTTTCCTTGGTTCTCTGGGGGCGGGAAGCCAGCCCTGAGCCCGTTTCTGTAGCCCATGTCAAGCTGCCCCCAGGACCCAGCCTCCCGTGGCCACTGGGTGGGGCTCCCAAAGGGGTGATTGCAGGGGGCACGGGGGTGGGGTGGGAGGGCAGATTCCGTTTGGAACAAGATCCACCGGCCACCGACACTTATGTCCCCTCCTTCCTCAAGCCCTCCCCCGCCACCGAGCCCCCTCAAGGCAAAGAGGCGAGAGGAATGATTTTTCATCATTTATTGACAGGCGGCATTGTTTGTTAGCAGGCTCCTGTTCATGTCATTGAACTGGTGGCATGTTCAAGAGGCGGCAGGAGGGTCTTGGCGGCTGGTAGCGGTGCGGGCAGGAGTGCGGCGGGCCGGTGGCAGGCCGGTGTTTTCTGTGCGTTCATCTTCTCCTATACCTCACCGTGGTGTAGCGGCGGCAGCACACTGCAGGGGGACAGGCGGGGACAGGGAGTTTTAGCACGGTGGGACCCCTGTCCCCCCAGCTCCGCCCCAGCTCCCCAACCCCAGGGTGCCGGCCCCTTCACCTCTCCTTCTCCGCCCCCGACAGCACCGTCTCCTTCGGCGGCGGTATCTCGGTCTCCGGCGGCGGCATCTGCTCCGGCTGTGGCTACGGCAGCATCTGTATCTGGCCATGTTGCTAGATGGAACCGGCCCGGATGCTCAGAGCAGAGGGACCACCTTGGTTGAGCCAGCCAACCTGTGAGCAGGTGGAACTTTGTGGGCTGTGAGCCCGGGGGCTGACTCCTGGGCCTCTTATAGACACGGCGGGGGGTGCCCTGGGCATTGTGAGGTCGCAGAGGCCTGGACCTCACAGACACCCCCCGCCCCCCCCCGCCCCCGCCCTGGCCAGAGCTGTCCTGATCACGTCCATATATGGGCATGTGGGAGGCCCCTGGTGGGAGCAGGGTGGGGCCATGTGGCATAGGGTGGGGAACCCCCCCAGGTGACCAGCCCTGGGGAGACAAGAAGGCTTCTCACTCATTCATTCACTCAGTTACTTAATTAACAAAAAAATGTTGAACACCTACTGTGGGCCAGATTCTGGGCTAGGCCCTGGCATCCAAGGATAAATGAGGCCAACATGCTCTTGCCTAATCAGCTTTGTACCCAAACTATGGGAAATATGAACAAAGTAACCACACAGAATAACTGAAATTGTGAAAAACGCTAAGGGCCCCTCCGGGCAGGGGGGGAGGGTTTTCTGAGGGTCTAAGAGCTTGGGGAGGACTTGACCTCCAGGAGGCGCTAGCAAAGCTGCCTCAGGAAACACTGGTGAAGTGAATTCCTAAGGGATGAGTCAGGGTTGGAGGAGGGAAAAGTATGTTGGGAGAAGGAAGAGTGGGCGGCAACGTTCTGAGGCAGCACACAGCGCAGGTCCCATTTATATGAAGTGTCCGGAAGACGGGTGTCCGTAGATACACCAGTCCACAGGTGGCTGCTCAGGAGCACGGACATGAGGAGTGACTGCCTAGTGGGCACAGGGCTTCCTTCTGGGGCAGCGG